CTGCGCGAGGAGGTATTGAAAAGGTGACGGGAAAGACATAGACGAGATTGAAGGAGAAGGCAAAGGCAAGATGAGAGAAGTGATGGGAGTTGGGAGAGCAGGTGAGGCAAGAAGTAAAAAGCAGAAAGTGGGTGAGGTGAAAGAAGGAAGACAGACGATGGAGGGAGAAGCGGGAAAGGTAAGGGATGACTGTGCACACATAACTATGGCACAAGGTTGGACGACCGTGCAATAGACTCAAAACTCGGGCATAGCAAGGATGAACATATTGAAAGCTCTTTCTTGATTATGTGGGTGTGGTGCATGGTTGTTCCTACTAGTTGGTAGAATGGTTGGTTTGAATGAGGGCGGACAAGCCGAGAGTTTCTTCAACTCGCCACTGCAGCATAGTGTTCGAGATCCGCTGCTGCCGTGTTCCACCGTGTTTCTGAGAACCACTATTGATGAGCAGTTGAAGTGTGGCTGCTACTGCAAAGCGGAGTGCTGCTTATGGCCAACCGAGTGTGCGAATGCAGCGAACGGGGCTAAACTGTGATCTGCCCAGACCTTGCTGTTGAAGTTTATCCCCGGAGAAGGAGTTCATCTGCGGCCTACAAAGCCAAGCCTTGTGGGCTACACGCGTCTGAGAGTGAAAGTTGTACATTCTGAACTATAAATGGCTCTCTCAGCCGCAGGGTTGAGCCGGGGGTCTGACAGAGGCGGGCTTAGCAGATACCGAGAGCCTGCGTATGACGGAGGAGCAGCAGAGCCGGTGTGTACTCGGCCTGCGAAATGGAGGGAGCTTGTGCAAAAGTGTATTGCCCGCTGCTGTGAACTGCTGAAGAAGGTCCGAATGTAAGTCGGGTTGTTGGTGGGAGGCGGTCACTGTATATTTCTGATTGTGCACACGAACAGGCAAGCTCCTGCCTGGAGCGGGATCCAGTCTGTGTTGTCTGGAGGCTGTGCTTTGATGGGTTGCTGCGCACGACTGCTGTGCGTGCAGGTTTTGGGGGATATTGCTGTGTATTAGTATTCTCATTTTGTATAGAGCACATGGGGGTGTGCGCTATATGAACGATGCCGGTTTAGCATGCGAGGCAGTCGGATTAAGAGAGTGAGACGCTAGGACTTGAGGGAATGACCATGCTTGGAAGAGGGTTACCGCTGTAACTTGGAGGCTCATCAGAGTGCTAAGGTTGTGCGTGTGGCTGTGGTTTTACCATTCTGCCGCGATCCTCGGATGCCATTGTGAGGCTCTCAGGCATGTCAAGGTATCAAGGCCCTTTCACGCGAGTCTGAGTGCACCTCTCTCGTATTTGGGCGACTTAATGATTTTCGCTCTGCCCTTCTTATTCTTAGTCTAGCCTATTGGCTTGGAGAGGAAGGCGGCAAGCGAGATTGAAACTCGTAATCCATGCCAAGGCCTCTGTGGGAGGTTCGTCCCACCGATTGCGGGAGCTCTGCCGGGGTTCAGGCGGGACTCTGGAGACAGAGAACTTGAAGGTAGGCCGACGCGATCTTCCTTTAGGATCCCGTATACCCCTATCTATACCACCCTTCATTCAGTTTGACCGAGTTTTCACTTTCTATATATTTTCTTGACTTTAATTCATGATTTTAACTGAATCAGAGAGAATTTACTATGTTTGTCTAAGTTTATTTGCTTGAAATGAAATCCACGATATCTGCTTGCGATGATTTGAACTGAGGTTGGAGATGAGGTCCTCTTGACTGATCCGGTCACCTTCCTCGTTTGCCTAAAACATCGAACTGGAACTGGAGATGAGGTCCTTTTGACTGATCTAGTCGCCTTGCTCGTTTGCCTAAGACATTGAACTGGGGATGGAGATGAGGTCCTTCTAACTGATCCGGTCGCCTTGCTCGTTTGCCTAAGACATTGAACTGGGACTGAAGATGAGGTCTTTCTAACTAATTCGGTCGCCTTGCTAAGTCAGTCAGATTTGCTTGTTGACAATGGTCTGACTCTTCTCCTTGTGAGAATAGTCTAGGCTAATGTGCTAAGGATTGCATGGGGTTTGATCGAGAACAACTTGAAAAATTAAAAATTTAAAGTAATAAGATACATGACTTATGTCTTTTAGAACTACGAGAAGCAGAAGATGAAAACTTTGGATGAACGAACCCTTGAATTTGAACTGGTTGAATGAGTTGTTCACATGACATGCTTGTTAGCAAAACCTTGACTTTTGTTCAAATTCTGTTTGTTTTTGTTGCATAATAGGGGAGTCTCTAAGTGCTCGCCACGTGAAGGAGCTATAGGAGTTGGTTCAATTCTTGTATTTTCTGAGTTAAGTTTATTTTACTTAGATCAAGTTCTCGCATTTTCTGGGATCTTTTATTTTACTTGGCTCTGTATAAATTTTGGATAGCTACTTTTCCTATGGGAAGCGCTGCCGAAATTTTTACAAAACCAAAGAGTTAGTCAAATTTTAAATTTCAAACTTCACCTTTTGTCTGAGTTTATATCTGGCTTAGTTAAAATATGGAAAACCTACTTTTCTAGGGGAGGTGCTGCCCAAATTTTTACTAAATCAGGGAGTTGGACAAAATTTGACTTTCTGAAGCCATAGTTATTTATGAATTTTATATTTAAACTCGTATAAATTCTGAAAAGACACTTTTCCTACGGGAAGCGCTGCCGAAATTTTCCTAGTTTTGAAGAGTTAGATTATATTCTGGTAGGAGAACTCTTGGCAATCCACCTTGTATAGGTGAGATGATGCCAAAATTTCCCTTATTCTTTGAGGTCTATTGAAGAGAAGGATTTAAAATATAGTCTTACGAGATTTTTAAGTAAGATGTGATATGGGGGTTTATTCTCCATACACTTAAAGTTCAAGTATTTGGGATTTGACCTATGTTGTGTAAGAGGTCCTTTTTGGCCGTTTTTGATTCAAGATCTAACTAGTTCAGCTCGGTCCTACGAGGGTCGTCTTCTGTTACCTTCGGTAACAGGTCGGTTGGTTGATCGCCGATTCGTCGGCCCACGACTCAACTTTGCTTACACCTGTACCTCAGTTTGAATGCCTTAGCCCTGAGATTTGATATGTTTCTTTAAAGGTTTTAACCAGACTTCTTTTAATGACCATTATAAAGAATTGATGTTTTTTTATGAAAAGTTTGACAATGGTTGGGGCCCGAGTGTGTGAGGTGTGGTGTGAGACGTGGTGTGAGTCATAGGGAACAGTAAAGTTGACCACATTGGTGTATGGCAATGTGACTTTCGTATGTGTCTGTGTTTATGCAGGTTAGTATTTTGGAGCTTGGTATACAAGTCTTACGTTGGAGGCAGTGAGAATGACAACCATGTGTCGTACGATCTGCATATCTGATGGGTTTATCTTCCCCTTTTTTATTTATCTTGAGTTCTGAATTAATATGGGTGTTGGGATGCCTGTTTATTTACTGAGTGATTTTGCTTGTTAATTTTTATAGTTGGACGTTGATGTCTGTGGCAGCCGTCAAAGTCAAACCCCTTGACCTCTCTCCAAGCCCTAGATGATGGAGCTTGTCTCCAAGACCATAAGGGTTGACTGCCACCACAGGCCGGAACCTGTGTACCACCCACTCTCCACAAGGTGCAGAAGAGGGTGTGGTTCTCAACCGCCTTGGCGATTGTCTAGCGTCGAGAGATTAACCCCTCAAGGCGCATGTCAGCCGACACTTGAGTGTAGAACATGACCCTCGAGATCATCGAGGACCGCACGATTATGAGTGCTACATAGTTCGCCATCACTGCGACTGCTTGGGTATTTAGGCATGACTAGTTGACACGAGTAAGCATGTGTCCTCACAATATTTATTCCGAGTCTCACGTGCGACGCTCAACCAATTTTGTATCTAAAGGTTATGGGTTGGATACTAAAGGGACTAGGAGTGTTTTGTTTTGTGTGAGTGATCTGATTTTTTGTTTTGGCATGGTGTAACACTTGGTAAGAATGACGCGTCCTAGTCGACCGACGACGAGCCGCGCATGGGACTTCATCCCCCCAGTGCATCGGCTTGCGTACGGGTCCCACCGCGCGTACCCCATATGCTACAGCGTACGAGAAAATGCCCTCGGCTGGTCCACCTCTGCGATTGCACGTAAAAACCTTCGTATTGTGGACTAGTGGCTCAGGGGGTATACGCCCACCTAAGGGATGGTGACAATTCCCGCAGGTAGAGGTGAGTTGTACCTCGCGTGGACTTATCCTGTCGCAGGGGTTCGCGAGAGGTATGGCTGGCGCACTCGGCCGGAGCGGCGACGCTCTACGACTAAAATCCTGCCGAATCCTGCATGACGCGGCTGGGAAGGTCCCCTCTCTTTCGAGTGCTTGGTGACATTTGAATCCAGACTCGACATTGGACTTCAGACATTTTGACGAGGGATTATTTGGGACTTGTAACGAGACTTGGTGTTGACGACTTTCCCATCTCTCCCCTCCTCTTCTCCGCCTGATCCCCTCCTCTTCGTTTGTGCATGAACCGGACCTGGGGCCTCTTCCTGTGTATAGCGCCAGGCTCCCTTCACACCGTGTGGTGAGAATGATGTATGTTTGGTCTGCGTTGCAACATTGATTGGGCTAGTGATTTTTAGTATTCTAGCATTCTGCTGCGCTATCTTGTACTACGTGAAAGAGGTCAGTCCCAGTCAGGTCAGGACTTGTATCTAAGTCTTCCACTGCGCTATAAAGCACCATTTTGTATGTATCAGGATGTGCACTGCTCGTTGAGATTTCACTTGCACTGCATTGTCCATTCAGTCCTTTTCATCACATTGCGGATCCTTGGTCTACATATACATTGCCCAACTGGGCATGTAACAGATACCCAGTTCACTGCGGTACCCAGTTTCACTGTACCTGCAATATTGAGTATTTTTTTATTTTTTTATTTTTTTCTCAGTATTTACACTTATTCTGGACGGGCCTAACCAACATCCCATACCCTGGCGTCACATATTATCTATAGAAGACATCCAGATCCCCATCTGGTCCCATCTGAGCTCATCTGCACGGAGATGCGACCTGATGCGACCATCTGGGGAGGTTCAGACCATAGCAATGTTAACAGTTCTCCACTTTGAGCGGACTTATTTTAATTATCTCAGCAGCCAACACCACCTCATTCACCGACAGTACTCTCTCCAGCATCACGCACCAGACCCTACACATGACCTTACCCCGAGTCAGCGCAAGTGACAACTGTGCAGAAAAGAAGCACAGAAGGCAATCTTCTCCTCGTGAACTTCCATCGCTCAATACGATTACGTGTCCCCTCCTAGCCATTTCACATCTACATCTCTTCAATCCTCGCAAACTTCCATCGCTATCTGTAGTCCACCTCAATCCGTTTCTTGTCCATCTCTAACTCCACGATTTCAAGAACACCAAACAGCATGTCCTTCGGGACATCCGTTAAAATTGGAGCGATACAAAGAAGGTTGGCATGGCCCCTGCGCAAGGATGACAAACATAAATCGAGAAATGGTCCAAACCCAACAGCATGTTAAGAGCCAACGAATGACCCGTTCCCATCCTGTCCTCGCAGTCCCAATTTCCATCCCCCCTCCCCTTCTTTCTCCAACCCCCTTTCTATTGCCACTCCTGCTAAATGCCGAAGAGGCAACAACCAACTCTTTTTTTTTTAATTTGGACCATTTCTCGATTTATGCGTGTCATCCTTGCGCAGGGGCCATGCTAATCTACTCTGTATCGTTCCAATTTTAACGGATGTCCCGAAGGACAGGCAGCAACTAACTTAGCCATGCTTCTGTCGGCAATCCCATCGACCGCACTCATGTCAGACCCCTGGCACCGGAAATCCTTCTCAAGAGAATGAAAGCAACGGGTTCAACACATCCATCATACCATCAACCTGCAAAGGCAGGTCATCGACATCCAGTCGTCAGTCGGCATCACACTGCACTAGGCTGCGTACAAGCTGCAGAAGAGCGGGCCTCAGGAACGGCAACAACTTTTTGTCCTTCTTCTGGTGTGGATACCACTCTACGACTTCTCATTTCTATTCGGTTGGTCTGAATAGGTGTCGTCCGGGCCGTACCACAAGCCCCAGAATCCGCATGACCAAGTCCTGCGGTAATTGCTCCCAGCACGATCCTTTGAAGAGGCGACGAAAGCGATTGAGATCTTCTTGAGATCGTTCAAGGTCCCTTCACTGAGACTCTCCTAACGTTGACGTACGGAGCTCAAGCCTCCTCACAACAGAGTCAAAACGGTTGCAAGGGAGAGAAGGATTAACTTCCGGAAAATGGAGACAAGCCAACTTTGCAGCGACAGGAATCAGGCGCTCAAACTCCAAGCGAGTAGAATAGCAAATAAGTGAGCTAGAATTCACGCTAAACGAGTTTTTATGAAGACAATATAGGTCATCCATTATAAGTTCTTTCGCTTCAAGTGGTATTTTTGAGAGCACTTCCGTTTCAAGGATATGGCTCTCACGTTCATTCAAGTAATCATGAGTGTTATCACACAACCTGAAGTCATACTCCTCGGGGTCCTCGTCGCTAGAATATTTGAAATACCCTGATGTTAGCTGCAATGTAGTGATATCTCCATGTGGCTTGTAACGTTGCTTAACAATGTCCGCAGCCATGATCTGGAGTTCTGTCAAGTTGTCAGACGATACATCGCTGGCTGTGGCAATCAGGATGTCTGTCTCATGATCTTGCACATCAGCAAACCAGCCGGTGCCAAGTTCCTCTTCCCAAATCATATTGAGCATGCGCATTCGTAATGGAAAATGCTTGCCGTCACTTCCCACCAAGTCGAAGTCAATAAAATGGACTACAATGGCTCTACTGAAATATGTATCATCCCAAGGCTCTTTTTGCATGTTTCTGCAAAAGTGAAACATGTTGCTTGCGAGACTGAGGTCACTCTCCTGCACAACATCCATCCCTGACCGATGAAACATTTTAGCCAAATAATCACGGGAATGAGCGAGCACAAACCCTGCCAATCGGACCGCCAACTCCGCATGTACCATGTACGAGTTTGCAGATTTTTTATTCGGTTCAACAGACGAAAAAACCTCCTCAAAGACATCAGGCAGCTCATTCAAAAATGCTTTAGCCATGTCTATGTAGGCATGGTACATCAACATATCATCACTGTCCAGATCTGTTTCAACGAATGTATCAAACTGTGGAACAAAAGCATCCCGATCTCTCTTCAGCAGATCGGCATTTCCTGCCTGTAGGAGGAACTCGCTTAAATACCAGAAACCATCAGAGGTTGCAGATTTAACTGCGTCAAGAGTCGTCACTTGGATGGGGAGCATGTGGTACTGCTCGAACACACTCCCATGGAAGGCGGTACGAAAGTCCAGTAGCACCTGTCTGTCGCTTTGTCCTTCCTCGAGTCCATCCATGGGTCTGACTTTGCTCGCCTGTCCGTCACTGCAGTTGCCGATTGAACGGATATGTTGGTAAAACTGCCCTTGGCACAACCAGATGACCACAAGCACCATCAAACATGCGAAGATCTCTGCCTGTGATTGCACGCACCGTGGAGGAAGTTTAAGCTTGCCAGTGATCATGCAAGGGACCAATCAATGGCAACACAAATTTCCCGTGCAGCAAACAAAAAAAAAAAAACAGAACCAGCATATATGAGCAAAGTTGACAAGCAGATTTACGAAGCAAAGAACACACCAACATAGTACACACTGACACCCAAGTCTCTTGATAATGTACATATCAAATGCTGCAGCATCTTCTCCTTTTGCTACTTCCAGGAGGACGCGGCTGCCTGGCAGGGACTGGCTGTCCAGTTTGAGAACCTCCGGGACTGGGTACCTGGGCCTGAGTCTCTGCCACTAACTGGGAGGGTTGGGCCTACCAGTTAGTTAATTGGAGAGGCTGTGCCCAGCCTTCCTTGCAACTGCCTCACGCCAGCCTCCCGAGAGGCACCCTCGTGGCATTTTACAGGCCCGGCCTTCACTTAGGGCCAGGTCACATTTTCACAGGTGGCCCCTCCTCCTGGGTGGCACGGAGTCCTGCAGCCTGGCAATCGACCTTCCCCCCCCCAGAAAAAATCAAGCTGCCAGTGATCACCTGCCCCACAAATCTTCGAGGGGGGAGAAGTGGGAGATATAGAGTTAGCAGTTAATACACCATCCACAGCTGCAACAGCGAACACTCGTGATTGTCATGAATTTGGTTATCAACTTATCACAACGATTTGGTCAGGGCAAAATAATACTCATACTACCATCTTTTTCAAAGACGATCATAACTCCATGGGCTGAAGGCTCCCACGGGCCGGCTTTTCTCGGGTTTATTATCAGCTCCTCCATGCTCTCCCACTTCGTGGCCTTCGAATATCGACGAACATGAAAGGCCTTCCACGATTCAGCCCCCAAATTCGAATATCAGGGTCAAGGGCCTAGGCCAAGAAAGGCCAAGCCGGTCAGTTTCAGAGAAGTCACAGTTGGGTGACTTAGGAGTCAAGTCCAACGGGCACCCGGTGAACAGTCACATCCCAGCGGCAAAAGTCACGTCTCATATTGAAGAGTCATATTGAAAAGTCATGTTCCGCAGGCAAAGGACACTTTCCCAAGCAAAAGTCATGATCCAGAGGCAAGAGTCACAACCCACAGTCAAAAGTCATGTTTCAAAAGTGAAGAGTTGTGACTCCCAGGCCTAAGCAGCAGCACACCAATGAAAATTTGGGAAACGTACCAGGCCCTGACATTCTGAAGCAAACAGGCCGTGGGAATGTGGTATCAGTGCCAAGTCAAGCCACAAGAGGCAGAGGCTGGGACGAGCTGAAGCTCAATCCAAGTCAATATAAGGACCGACCAGCCTCCTCATTCGCATGAAGTGTGGAAGTTCTGGTGCACTTGTGCGCTATTGTGAGGAGCGGAGCGCTAAGCCAGGGCGCTGCGCTGTCAGAGGGAGAAAGAGAGGGAGCAGCCATAGCTGGCCTAGCGCTGGCAGAGGGAAGGTAGCCATAGCTGCGCCAGTGCTTAGTAGTTACTAGAGATAGCAGTGGGTGTATTCAGAGCTGGTCCTTGAGTGGTAGAAAGTGTGAGTGCATGCAGGGAGGAAGAGAAGACACAGTGAGGAGGGCATAGGCAAAGAGAAGACCAGAAGAGAGGAAAGAAGGGAGAGAAGCAGTGAGAGTGGTCACTTACGTGTGTGATGATGATACTGGATACTGATTCCTTGGCATTGCGCCGATGAGCGCTTGTGACTGGAACTCTGAATTGCTCATGTGTTAATTAGTTGGAATTTCTTAAGCTGCGCTATTGGTCTTCGACTCTCTGTACTACAGTGTGATTTCGTGCGATCTCATTTGTGCATGTATGCATGTGTGTGCACTCATTGGTGACGAACTGAGAGGTTCATTGCAATTGGTATCGGAGCTTGAAGCTCGCTGCATCCACTGGAAGTGCGCTGGCAATGGTAAAGGCCGGCGAATGAGAGTGGGGAGAAGGCTGACGAAAAGCGGGTAGGCCGAAGTGGAAGGGGCCATAGTTGGGGTTGGTGATTCCGTACCTGCTTGCTGGAGCGTTGGAGCGAATCGTGGAGCTTCATCAACGGAACGTACACTGGAGTGAAGTGTATCGCCCCCCTAAGCCCTGTATTGCTTGATGAATGATTGAGTGAATGGTACCTTTTCACATCTTGGTGTTGCTGCTGCTGGGCTGGACGAAGTATTGAGTCATCTCTGATTTGCATTAAGTCACGCATCCCGTCAGTAGTTAAAAAAAGAAAAGTAGATCATTTTGGTAAGTCTTGAGGACAACCTGGCAGCAGGCACTGTGAGAAGGGAAGTAGGCAACCAGCAGAAGTCAAACCCACTCAGTTAGTAGATTAGTAGAAGGGAGTACATCTACATGGTGAGGAGGTGGAGGCTACCTACCTGTGCTTCTTATCAGCATGGATGACTATCCCATGTTCACGATTTTGTCCCTGTTCGTGCTGTGGGGACCCCCCTTCTTCGCGTTATTTTCCCTCCTGGTTTCTAGTGGACAATTTTCTCACATGCGGTATTAAGGTCCGGGAAATCGACAGAGCCATATATTGCCGACGAGCAGTCAGAGGTAGACAAAAAACTGGCTGAAAAGAAGAAAGAGAAGAAGGAGAAGAAGAAGCTGTTGGAAGAGAAACAGAAGATGGAAAGAGAGATGAAAGAGAAATTAGAAAAAGAAATGAGAGAAAGAGATGAGAAGGTGAAGAAGGAATTAGCAGAAGCTGAAGAAGAAGAAGAAGAAGAGGAGGAAGGTGACGGGAGGTTGGAGCGAAGAAGAGCCCAGCAGACTGAAGAGAAGGCTGTTATGAACCCAGATCGTGAAACAGTTGTCAACAATGCAAGTCCAGAAAATGAATAGTCAAAAATCGTGACCAGACAGAATGACGTGAGATATCATACACAGACGAAGAGGGAGGAGGGAGGAGAGACAAAGGAGAGGAAGAAAATGCCCACTCCTGCTTTGGGCTCCCTCCTCTACTGCCACCTCATCAATCAATAGTCTGAACGAGGATCCGAGTATCCGAGTATCCTCAATGTGCCACGTGGCAGAACTAATCAGTTCCGCATCAGCATCTGGAGCAATGTCGACATGAAGACCACCAGGTACGTATCCTCGAACTCCCCCACAGTCCTGATCTCCTCCTGAAGTGACGACGAACAGAACAGCAATGTCGAAATATATAGTCCCAGTCACAGAACACGTGGACAGCAGCCACGTCAGCATGATACACATGGCAGCAGCCACATCAGCGAAGGTGCATGGCAGCTGCCACGTCAGTAGGCCAGGAAGACAGGAGCAAGCCGGCCACCATGCCGGGATAACAGCAACTCGCCTAGTCACAATGCCAGCAGCGTCGAGCCAGCGTCGCAGCGTCAAGCCAGCGTCGAAGTCAATGCGTGAAGTCAGCATCAACGCAAGACAGAATGAATGTCAAAGCCTGGAAGTCAACTCTTATGTAGTGTTGACGCGGGGTCTAGACCCCGGAGGCTGTATCCCTCGGCCGTCGAGATCTCAATGCGAACAAGGGCTCAGATCGGCCTGAAACCGAATTCCCTCCGGCCTGGATGCTGTCTGGGTTCCTGCGCACAACAATTGAGTGTATCCAATCTAGGGCTTGGGTGCAGTACCTTTGACTCTACAGTTGACTTTGACTCTTGGATTTCCTGTGTGCAGCGTTCGGTCACACAGCCACGCTCGACAGACTCAGGCCTGGGCGTGTCTTGGTCACACAGCCCAGTGCAGACCTTCTCAGGTCTGCGTGGCCTGGGGTGAGTTCTAAGCCCCAAGCTACTTCTGAACACGGTTATTACATTCCTGCCGGCCCATTTTTGAGTTCCACCGCAGAAATATTTAAGACTTTAACCCTCGTTCATAAGCAGCGACAATATCAAAAGCAGTTACTAAACCATCTGTCCTCAGATGGTGCTTGAGTTTTAAAACGTACCTTGAACTGCTTCTGAGGTCGTCCACGTCCTCCCGTAGAGAAGTAGCCATGCTCTATGATTCGGTCAACCTCGTATCCGCCATCCATGTCTGGTAGAATCATAGAGGGTCTATGAGGAAAATCATTTCCTTCTACGTAAGGCAACAATTTGGACGCATGAAAGACAGGGTATGTTTTGAGATGAGGGGGAATATCAATTCGATAAGACGGTCCCTCTGCATCTCCAATTACCTTGAGAACTTCCCAGGGTCCAAAATAGACACGTAACAATTTCTGGGAGACATCTTCTTCTAGTGAAAACTCTATAGATTTTACCCAAATCAGATCACCTTCTTTTAATGTAGACGGTCGACGGTGCTTGTTGGCTTGTTCAATCATTCGTAGTTGAGATTTCCTTAGGTTATCTTTAACTTTTTGAATGTCTTCCTGAAACAAGATTGCATATTCTCGGGTCCCTGGGGGCAACCTAAGAAACTGGTCCCGGTTCAGTACATCAATGGGACGTTTAGTCTTCCACCCTTAGTGAAGTGCATTTGGAGTTTGTCCAGTAGACGTGTGGACACTATTGTTATATGCACTTGTAATCTTAGGTAAGTTCTCGTCCCAATCAATTTGATCGGGTCTAATATACATACGCAAAAGTTGTTGGCACAGACGGTTCATTTGTTCAGTCTGGCCATTCGTTTCGGGATGCCTCCCTGACGACATGGTCAGCCGTGTGCCATAAGCTTCCATCAGCTTTTGCCATGGCAGACTGGTGAACCTGACATCTCGATCAGACACAATGGTTTTGGGAAACCCATACTCAGTAACCCATCGCGTCTGAAATTTTTGAATGACAAGTTCAGTACGCGCTTCTGCTGGTAAGGGAACAAACATAGCGTATTTAGAGAAATGGTCCACAATTACCATCACTTGACTGTTACCATTGCGACTTTTAACCAGACTCATGAAGTCAATTGAGATAGACTCACCTGGTTATCTTGGTATAGGTAATGGCTTGAGAAGTCCAAGGGGATTCTCGTGCGACAACTTGTTTCTCTGACACACTAAACAAGTACGAACATATGTTAGTACGTCTTCTTTAAGTCCCTTACATTCAAAACATTCTCTGACTTCAGCATATGTTTTCTTGAAACCAAAGTGACCCTCGGAATCGTGACATTCCCCTATCAATACACTCTTTATCTCTTCCTTATAAGGAATGCACAGTCTTTGTTCAGTTTGGTCAATCAAGAATAACAACCCACCAGTCATTCTATAGTTGGGTAGTTGGGATGAGTCTCGTACAAGGACATCCGTGATTGGTTTCCAGATAGGATCAGTAGCATATCCTTGGCGAATCTGATCTTTCAGGTCATTCCCAACATCCAAGTAAGAGACAATTGCACCAAAGAAATCACTCCGTCTGGGCAATGAGTCTGCGACCACATTAGACTTACCTTTGATCGATTTCAACTCAAAATTGAAGGTATCAATAAACGCAGACCATCGTACCAGCTTATCAGAGAGCCTCGACTGTGTCTTTATCCACTTTAGGGTAGAGTGGTCTGAATACATAGTGAAGTGTCTCCCTAACAAGTAGTGCTTCCACATGTTTAGTGCATAGACTAAGGCATACAACTCCCTTTCATAGGTGGAGTTGGCAACCACTTCAGACGGCAGTCACGCAGACATAAACTCTATAGGCCTATAGCCCTTGCCGTCATCTTGATGTAGAACAACGCCAATCCCATACTGACTTGCATCAATAGTGACAATGAAAGGCAAAGACGGATCAACAATCTTAAGGATGGGGTAGTGAGTCAGGGCATACTTCAGTTTCCGAAAGGAGGACTCACAATCCTTATCCCACAACCAGATAGTTTCCTTCTTTAACAATCTTCGCATTGGTGCAGCAATCAATGAGAAGTTTCTGACAAACTTCCTATAATAACTGGTTAAACCAAGGAAAGATCGTAGTTCAGTTATAGACTTAGGTTGTGGCCAGTCTCTAATTGCTGAAATCTTTTTCTCTTCCGGCCTTAAACCTTCTTCGTTTACTATGTGTAAGTATAACACCTCGGACTTAGCAAACTCAGACTTCTTGGGATTGATTTTGAAGGTGCCCTCACGCAACTTCCATAGCACCAGACGAAGGTGCTTCTCATGATCTTCTAGTGTTTTACTATACACTAGAATATCATCAAGATAGACAATAACAAACTTATCGAGCCATTCACGAAACAAGTCATTCATTGACCTTTGAAACGTAGCAGGGGCATTCGTTAATCCGAAGGGCATTACCACGAACTCATAATGGTCATACCTGGTCCGGAAAGCGATCTTATGCTGATCGCAGGGTTCCACCTCAATCTGGTGATACCCAGATTTCAAGTCGATCTTGCTAAAGTACATGCAACCCTGTAGTTGGTCAAGTAAGTCGTCAATGCGAAATAGCGGCTCAACATTCTTAACAGTGACGACATTCAACCCTCTGTAATCAATATAGAGACGCAACTCACCTTTCTTTTTGGGCACAAATAGGACAAGGGCACCATAAGGAGAAGAGCTAGAGCGAATCCATCCTTTCTCTGTTAAGTCCTGCGATTGTTTTCTTAGTTCCTCAAGTTCCCTGGCAGACATGCGGTAGATAGGGCCCTTGGGAATCTTACTGCTAGGAATAATTTCAATGGTGTGCTTTATAGCACGCACAGTTATTCCTGTTGGTTCGTTGAATAGTTCTTTATATTCATTTAAGAGTTTTTCAATTGAAGGAGGATAGGAAGTAGAAGACTCTCCTGCTCTTTTTACTAAAACCATCATTACTTCCTGTTCCAACTTCTTCTTTGAAACCATTGAGCGAAAGGCTGGATAACTCATACAACAAAAAGATAGACTAGAGTCAGAGCCAGACTTATTAAACAATTTGATTGGTTTCGAATTCGATTTTGCGTCTCGCAACTGCACAACCTTCTCTTTGAACTTAATGTCTGGGTTGGCTTCCTCGTGCCAATCCATTCCCAGAAACAAGTCAAATGGTAAGTTCTTTTCAATCAGGAAGGATATCTCATGCAACATCTTTTTACCTTCCTTTGTTCGAAACCAACACTTGACACGATCAACATACTGCGAGACAGTAATCGTGCTTTTGTCGACCAAAACAGACGTTATAGGTCCAGACAGGTCTTTCACCTTCATTCCGAGATGCAACTTGCGAATTGCCTTCTCAGATATGTAGGATCGCGTGGGTCCTGAGTCCAACAGTGCACCTACACGTGTGCGTGCAATCTCTACATCCGCGAGTAGTAGGTCACCCTTAGACTTAGCTTTCTTAGCCCATGAGCTTCGTAATGCCAACAACTCGTTACCAAGCTCATCAAGGGAGTCGTCCAGAGAGATGGAACATAAGACAGGTTCAGGGTGTTCTGGACGATGGGCCGAAGAAGAACCATCCTCTGCCATGTGAGTCAAAAGGTTGGAAGGGTTAGTAGGCGCCTTACCTTCTTCTTGATCCAAACCTTTAGACTCAGTAGAAGCAGATGCTACTCCTACTGGCGGCTCGCTTTTGGGTTACGAATCAACGGGCACCATGCAATCACATGCCCTACAATGCCACACTTCAGGCACTGCGATGTTGTCCATTCGTTCCTGCCACGTTTTTTGTGACAGGCCCATATTTTCCCAAGGCTTCCCGACCGCAATCCCGGGGTGCCATGGGAACGAGCGTGGTTTCTTCTTCTTGACTGGCGGTCGTGGTCCTCCCTTGTTGACCACGGCAGCAGTGACTTCCCCCTTCCCGGAATCACTGCTGTTCGCCACACTCTCGGCCTCCAATGACCACCTTTCCACGGTTTCGTCATAAAAAACGACGAGGGTGTGATCCTGGCGCTTTTGGCGCCAAAGCACTCACTTGCCTGTACCTGCACCACCACCATATTTCACAACAGATGCATAAGAATTTTTTACCTGAGAGATCATTTGCTCTCGTTGGAGAGCCAAATCCCGAAATTGCCTATAGTTATACTTACCCGACTTAGACTCTGCCACGAGTTGTCCACGAATGGGCTCGGGCAGAGCTCGGAAATAAATGTACAAGACCTGGTTGTCTTGCAGGTTTAATCCTGGAACCTGCAGCAACCGATCAACTTCCCGTGATAACGACTCCACAGAGGTCCAATGCTTTTGACCAATCGTGGTGAGCTGGTCAAAGGCCTTGTCGGCCGTCGTTTTGTCCAAAAACCGTTCCTTGATCTTCCCAAGGAACTGTTTGAGGTTCAATGTTCCAGCCCACTCCCCGATGTCATTGAACCCTGCGGCATTGGCTTCGGCCAAAACCCACTCCTTAGCTTCCCCACCAATACAAGAAGTAGAGAATGCAACCTGGGATTCGGGTTCGACAGGGGCCGTGCTACAGTAAGTTTGAATCTCTGCGATCCACAAAAGCAGATTTTCGTCTTTCTTATTACAAAACGTGAAAGGCAATTTCATTTTTGATTTTTTCTTTCCTCTTTGGTTTCTCAGGTTGTGGTGTGGTGACTTTGCTTCCTCCGGGAGACTTCGGCGGACTCGAAGGTTCCCCTTTCTTTTCTTACGGTATCTTCTGTTCCGGTTTCTGGGTCTCTACTCTAAGAGACTTCATTGCGTCTCCCATTAATTTCTCTGGCTTTTCTTCCTTTCTTTCTTCCTTGACCTTTTCTTTTCCCTTGATCAGATTCGTGACTGTCCGGAGTCCTGAAGCCACATCATCAATTTGTGACTGCATTCGTTCGCCAAACTGATCAATTTTCAGTTCTAAGTGGGCAAGGTAATTCACAAGGTGAGCCAAGGAAATTTCATATTCTTCCCCTTCAGTTTTAACAACAGTTTGTCTAACCTCTTGAACTTTTTGCTCTTGCTGTTCAATCTTCTTCTTCCTCAATTCTTTTTTCCTCTTCTTCTCTTTTTCTAGTGCTTCTTGAAGTTGTCTGATATTCTCATCCACGGCCTCTTCAGACACAACCCTTTCTTCTTCTTCTTTCTGTTCAGCAAGCTGACTGAGCTGATCCATGATATACTTATCGAGTGCCTGTCGGCACTTGATTAGTATCTCCTGAACTTGAATGACGTCGGTGCCTGTGACAGACGATTCAATAGCATCATGCAATGCTCTTAAATCGTACAGGCTCCGGACGTGAGCCTCAACATCCTCACCGGCCGCATGAAGTTCAGATATCAATTTGTCTAGATGGGCAATCAAGACTTTTTTCCGCTCTTTTACTTGCTGTTTCGTTCGGGGGTCAGGAGTCTCATCCACAACAAACATGAGTGAGACTGAGTAGAAGAGAAGTGGGATGAATCGGGTGAGCACTGAGAGTTTCAGAGAATTCCAAACGAAAGACATCTTGTTGTACGTCTGCCGCACAATAAATTATCAATTAACGGTAATAAATTTCACGGCCGCATTGATGTATCACAACAAGATTTCAAATAACCGAAGAAAAAGAATCAGAAACAATTTATTTCTATTTCTAACTATTGTTGTTCTTTGTCTGTGTGATGACGTCCTACTCGAGGGTGTACAGGTACCACTACAGGCCCATGTGATCAAACACCACACACAAGTAAATACGCAAACACCACACACAACAACAACGGGTAAGTATGCCAACAACAATCACAACAATCTGTCAGCAAACTTCGTCAATCTGCTGTGTCCACTTGATTGTCTGTGCGATCACGCACTCGCCCGGACGGCTGGCACTACAGCTGTACCGCCGTTGTCTTCAGAGTGCCCCTTTTACTTAGCAGTAGTCCTACCTGCCACGTGTCTCCCCTGGCATGCCAACACAACAGATCCTGCCACGTCAGCACTCTTCCAGTCAGCCAGTAGTGGGATGCCACGTCAACAAATGTGTGTCCTGATCCTCGCCACGTGCCTCTTCCACGCGTCTCGTGAGATACTGTCGCCGTTATTGCCAGTCAGATCATGCCACGTCAGCTAAGGGCCTGTTGCCACGTCAACAGATAGCCACCACCTCATAAAACAGGTGTGATGACTCTTCCAACCACATCAGCAGTCAGTCTTGTCCCCAAAGCCACGTCCGCACCTGCGGTAGACCCTGTCGCGTGTCAGCAGCACAAGAAGTGCCACGTCAACAATCAGCAACAAGGTCTTCAGACGTGGCACAACATATGCCACGTCAGCAAGGGATCGCGATGTTACTATCGCGATCCAAGCTGGCATGCGGTATCTCCAATGGCAGTCCCTTCTGCCACGTCAGCAGCCTAGTAGGGACTTCCTCTCGCCAGTGAAGTCTGCACCTCGTCTGCACTCTCGGCAATGTCTTCTCGCCAGTGAAGTGTGTACCACGTCAGCAATCCCCGGCAATGTCGTCTTACTAAACAGGTATGTACCTCGTCAATATCCCTTGCCACGTCATCACATACTCAACCTCACTCACCTGCGCGCCACCTGGTGCCTACTCATATACAAATGTCAACTTCAGGAGATTAGCTCTGATACCAAATTGTTATGAACCCAGATCGTGAAACAGTTGTCAACAATGCAAGTCCTGAAAATTAATAGTCAAAAATTGTGACCAGACAGAATGAGGTGAGATATCATACACAGACGAAGAGGGAGGAGGGAGAAGAGACAAAGGAGAGGAAGAAAATATCCACTCCTGCTTCGGGCTCCCTCCTCTACTGCCACCTCATCAATCAATAGTTTGAACGAGTATCCGAGTATCCTCAATGTGCCACGTGGCAGAACTAATCAGTTCCGCATCAGCATCTGGAGCAATGTCGACATGAAGACCACCAGGTACG